GAGTTATCGCATTTTGGCCACTTCCGAACTCAAATAGCGGCTGTGTGCAGCGCCACGTAGTGGCGACGGTACATTCTTTTTAGACACACTGTACATATCTGAGCACTTGAGGAAAGTTAATTAAGTCCCTTCCCCGCTTAAATTACTCGCGCTTCTAAATGAACACCAGGAAGACGGTAATAGAACACTGTTAGGAGGGTTGGGCGTTTAATTACTACATGTAGTAGGTAAAACACCCAACCCTCCTAACAGTGTTCTATTACCTTCTTCCTGGTGTTCATTTAGAAGCGCGAGTAATTTAAGCGGGGAAGGGACTAAATTAACTTTCCTCAAGTGCTCAGATATGTACTGTGCAATTACACCGCTAACGGTGTTAATTTTTTTGTGTGTGTAGGAAAAAAGGAGCAATTCTAATAAGAATATGTTCGATTCCGATACTCACAGACATGTTAGCAATATTCCTTCGGCACAGTTTATTCCGAATAATGAATGTGAAAAACGGTTCTACATGGCTTCTGAACTACATAGGGCCTATATACGAGCATACGCCATCTGCACGAATCTCGTATACTGCCATTTCCGAAGCACTTGAGACCAACGAGCGACTGTAGCAATGCGGCTAATCTCGGACATTTGTTGCGAGCTGTGCTGGTCGGTGAAAGAAGATGGCCGTCTTGCCCTACCCATGTGACCGTCTTACCCCATGGGGTGTGGTAAGACGGGTTTTTGCAAGGTTTTGCAAAAATAGCTGCAGTTTATTTGTTGAATCAGGTCTAAGTCTCACCTTCTGGCAAATGGAAGTAAAATGTCTACAAAAGGTTTTCACCAAGTTTCCCGTTATGATGTTTCTAACCGGCCGAAAAATAGTTCCAAAGTTAAGGTGCCCGTCTTACCCCACTTTCCCCTATATAGAGCTTCGCGGTAAAGACCAAAAAGATTCTTTGGGAAGAAACGAATCCAATGATACCCATTTTTACCTTCTCAGGTCAGTCATTGACCTTCCAGGCCAGGTCAAACTAAAAATGTTGCTGTTTTGGGTCACCGTTGGATATCAAGTGCGATGCTTATCATAAACCGATGACGATGCCGTTTTTTGGTGCCAAGCCAGCTAGAACCTCTTTGTCACACTACCCAACCAGGTTTTTGCTGCTGAGGTCGTTTCAGGTCAAGTTAGGTCAAGGTCAATGATATGTGTTTGTATGTCTGTGTGTGTCTGTGTGTATACTGATGTGTGTACCGATTGTTTTCATGTGTCCATATTACATCAAACCATGATCTGAGAAGCTTTTACCAAAAATGCAGTAAAAAACTTCACGGAACGTCGGAAAGTTAATTCAGCTTGCCTAAAACGCAATTATTTTCGATGACCTAGGTTGACCTTGACCCTGACCTTGACATCTGCATATCGTCGAACAACATGTTCCATGATACGTGGGAGGTAAGACTGGCAAAAAAGGCCGAAATCAAGGTGTCAAAAGCTCACAAGGCACATTGCCAACGCAAGATGTTGAGAATTGGTCAATTGGGTCATGACATGACCTGAAAAACAAGGTCAGATCTCCAAAACCAAAAACCACAGAAACTTGAAATTTTCAGTGGACATCAAGAAAGGATAGAGGAGCAGCTATACGAAAAATCAGGCTTCTACAGCTATAAAAAAGTTGAGTGGAGAGCAGAAAACTATCTGGGAGGGGGAACGGGGCAACCACCCCACCCCCATGTGCGGGCGAGGGTTAAGCCGAATCGAAAGACCCAGCCTTTTCCCGTTAAAATGTTAATAGTAGCCGCTAACTCGTCAACGGTGCAAAATACCACCCCAAATAGGTACATTTTCGGAATCAGCGCATCGAGTAGGCCCCGTACACCGATGTTCAGCCAAATCGAAAGACCCCGCCGTTTCCCGTTAAAATGTTAATTAGCCGGTAACTCGTTAACGGTGCAAAATACCACCCAAAAGAGGCACATTTTCGGAATCCTCGCATCGAGGAGTCCCTGTATACCGATTTTCAGCCAAATCAAAAGACCCCGAAATATGCTGCTGAAATCAATATATGCTGCTTGAATGTTAACGGGTCGTTAACTCGTTACCGGTGCAAAATACCACCCCAAAGTGGTACCTTTTCGGAATCAGCGCATCGAGAAAGCCCTGTGTACCTATACCGATTTTCAGTCAAATCGAAAGACCCCGCCGTTTACTCGTTAAAGGTGCAAAATACCACCCCAAAGAGGTACATTTTCGGAACCAGTGCATCGAGCAGGCCCTGTACAGTACACAGATTTTCAGCTAAATCGAAAGACCACGCCGTTTCCCGTTAAAATATTACTTAGCCGTTTACTCGTTAACGGTGCAAAATACCACCCCAAAGAGGTACATTTTCGGAATGAGCGCATCGAGGAGGCCCTGTACCTATACTGATTTTCAGCCAAATCGAAAGACCCCGCCGTTTCCCGTTAAAATGTTAATTCAAGCCCTTAACTCGTTAACGGTGCGAAATACCACCTCAAAGAGGTACATTTTTGGAATCAGCGCATCGAGGAGGCCCTGTACACCGATTTTCAGCCAAATCGAAAGCCCGCCGTTTCCCGTTAAAATGTTAATTGGCCGTTAACTCGTTGACAGTGCAAAATACCACCTTAAAGAGGTACATTTTCGGAATCAGCGCATCAAGGACGCTCTGTACACCAGGGGGATGTCGTCCCGGTTCTTCCCATGTATTATTCGCCAATCAGCTTAACACTACCGGTGACGTCACTGGTGGACCGCCAATCGGGGCCGGCCGGCCGGGCCCGTAGAAGGCCAAACGCAGACGTTTTCAGAAAAGCGTAAGCCGTATAGATACATTCGTCAGTGGATGGAGTTTTGCTGTGATTCGGCTCTCCAAGAGTGCGTCAGGGTACCAGGGCGGCATCTGATAAAAGTCGCTCACCACTTAGCAGCCGACTTCGACCCTTCACCCTCGTAATACACAAAAGCTTGCCGGTCATCAATCCACCTGCATCTCTGCATCTCCTTACTACCTATATCGACCAGTTACTGCAGCCGTTTTGGAGCGGCTCACGGCCGATTACATACCGGGCGTGCGCTAGCCGCCGGTGCTAAGCGCTAACCACTGAGTGCGCGTGGCCGACTGCCGCCCCGATGGCGCTGGCCCCCGGCACCGGCGCGGCGCTGCTGACCCATGGAGGGGGGGGGGGCTGCTAATTAGTTGAGCCGGAATTGGGATAGAAGCCGGTATGGGATTGGGATAGAAGCTCAGCGAGACTAAGGGATTGTGTGGTGCCTTCGGTAGGCCCCTCAAAATCACCCGTGTAGGGCCCTCAGGGCCGCCGGTTATGAAGCCTTTGGAGGCAGTGGTGTGGGCCCTCACAGGTACCGGTGTGATGCTCTCAGAGGCATTGGTGCGGGGCCCCCAGAGGTGCCGCTGTGGGCCCTCAGACAGTTGCCGTTGTGGGCCCTCAGAGACACTGCAGTGTGGGGTTGTCACAGTCGGGTGTGGGACCCTTAGAGCTGCTGGCTCGAACCCTTTACAGGCCGACAGGGGCTCTCAGAGACCGACAAGAGGCTCTCAAGAGGTCTGCGGTGCCTTCGAGAGCCCTGCGGAGTCCTTGAGACCAGCAAGGTACACTCAGACGCCAGTGGGGCCCTCAGAGTCGTCGGTGTGGGGCCCTCAAAACTCACCGGTGAGTGGCCGTCCGATGCGGCTCCGGCGTTGAGCCCCCAGAGCCGCCGAAATATGGCCTTAAGAAGCACTGGTTTCGGGACCTTATTCAGGGGTGCCGGTTGCACTCAGAGGTGGCAGTGTGGGGCCCTCAGCTAGACACCGGTGTGGGGCATTCACAGCCGCCGGTGAGGGCCCTCGCAGGCGCCGTTGTGGGGGCCTTCAACCATTGGTTTAGGGGGTCATCGCAGGCGTGTGTGGAACCCTTAGAGCTGCTGGTCCCTGATAGGCCGGTAAGGGCCCTCAGAGGCCGGCAAATAGCCTTCAGAGGTCGCCAATAGGCTCTGAGAAGCCGGCAAGGAGCCCTCAAAGGCCGACAAGGGACACTAAAAAGCCGGTGTGGGGCTCTTATGGAGAGAAGTGTGGCTCTTCGGAGCACATAAGGTGTTCTTCCGAGCCCTGTGGGGCCCTTCTGAGTCGAAAGAAGCCAGCGTGGACCCTCGGCCGCCAATTGGCGTCGCAAGGTCCCTCTGGCCAGAGAGGCCCCCTGATCCGATGGGGGCACGTGCCCCCCGCTTCCCCTCCCCCGGGTGCAGATAGAGAATGCAATCGGCGGTGCGGAACACAACAATTGCAATCGTTCCTCCTCCCGTCGCGAGGTCGCCCATCCGACCCATATCCCATGATTGTCAACCCTGGGCTCGGGTCGGCAATGCACCGGCAAGGAAATCAGCTTTAGGTGAGTAAAAAAAGTTATTAAGAGTCATTAGTTGTCGTTACGTTCAGTAATAACAACTATACGGTGCCATATGTACCCGACGTACAGCTTGGAGCCGGGCGCCGCCCGGTCTCCACCAGTGACGTCACGCTAATGCTTAGCGACCGGTCCATTGGAAATCGCGGGATGATTCTACCTCCCTTATACGGCCTTGCTGTACACCGATTTTCAGCTAAATCGAAAGACCCCGCCGTTTCCCGTTAAAATGTTAATTGGTCGTTAAAGGGACCCTCCCACTTAGAGTTGAGTTGAGATAGCCAAAATGGGGTCCCCGGCTCACAATTACCGGTTCCGGCACTCACAACATCGAGAAATGCCTTAAATCGGAAATATTGAATTTCAAAATTGCAGCATTTTGATTCAGAGGGGCTACCTAGGAATACCCCTCTGAATGTGTGACGTCAGCGCAGATATCTAACGATTTTTAAATGTTTGACTAAAACGTTTTGTAGCACGCGGTGGTATATGCTGCTTTGCGCGCAACAAGTGCCGCACTTTCAGCTGTCAAACTATTGCTTCCGCTAGGAACATTATAGAGTTCAGTGGCTAGGAACCACAGCGGAGATCCCAAAAAGTAAACAAAAGTAAAAGTCAAATCGTCAAATATCTTGAAAACCGGTGAATACTTTTCGGTGAAATTTGGTAGATATTCGTTTTGTGCAAAATACCACCCCAAAGATGCACATTTTCGGAATCAGCGCATCGAGGGCATCGAGGAGGACCTTGACCTACGTACCAATTTTGAGCTAAATTGAAACACCCCGAAATATGCTGCTGTGAGGATGATATTCGTTGCTGCTAAATTGACAGACGTAGAGTTCAGTGAGGTGGCAAGAGGTGGACTCACTGAACGCACTGAACTCTATAACTCTGACTCTAAAAGATTGCGATTTGCGAACGTAGTAGATACGAGCCTTGGTAGATACCAAGATTCTTACAAATAGTAGATACCTCGGCTCGGGCCACTGAACTCCGCTCGGGCTCACTTGGTGTTCTATATACCGTGGAGTTCAGTGGGCTCAAGCAAGGCTCAAGATGGGCTTTGGGCTCAAGGCCCTAAATCAAGCCCTAAATCAAAATAGGCTAGAGTGAGTGGGCTCAGGAGTAGTAAAGTACCTAATCTTGGGGCTCACTATGCTATATGCACGAATATGGATCACTCCTAGCTGTTAATAAATTATATTAAAATTCTAGATTGAGAAAAGGTTCATGCATTTGTAATAGTAGTTTTTTACATCTTCCATAAGTTTTTTCATGAAATACTTGCATGCCTTAGATGGGTCGTCCTATGCCGAATATGTCCGGCGTTGTGGCGGGATTGTATTGGAAATTTCAGCACATATTCACAGCATTATTTCGCATGCACTGAAAACAACACATGGTGGCCACTGAATTTTTTGGCGCAGGGCGGTAGCATAAATTTATTGTGAATGGCGGATGCCAAATTCTTCGGATCTGCAAATTCTCGGGTCCGCACATGCTGTTGGAACTTTCAACATGAAAGTCACGTGCTGCATGTCTTCCTGGGAGTTGCAACTTCCACATGCTCTGGAAGTGGTGCAACACTAATTAGAGGTGTGCACCATTCAGATTCAGCTGTCATTTTTGTCCCAGAAACCACCCTTTGCTAAGCTCTACCCAATTTTGTGTTATTCTGCCCAAATTTGAGCCTCTTTCCCATGACCATATTAAAGAGTACGCTGAACGCTCTCTGCTCGCTCCATAAGTATGGATAAAACAAGTTAAAACCAAAACCAGGCACTGGCTGCAACTGACCAACCATGCCAAAAACAAAACCATAATTTTGGAAATCCATGGGGTGATTTGTTTGGCACCAGGGTCATGTTGAGTTGCCAGTTTTATCAGCATGCCGCTGGTTTTCCTTCAAAGGAACTTCATTGCTGGTGTTCCTTGGCCTCTCATTGGTCAGCCATGCAGACCACAGGAAGTTTACTAATGAAAAGCCAAGAAATAGCAGCAGGCTGGCAGCCTGTTGAGAAGCAATGTGACTGAACAGCTCCCAGATCAAAGTGTTGCTGGATGGCTTTAGAGTGTGTCATGTATCACTCTGTAATTCTGTGTGTCAAAAACTAATGAAATAGCCTCATGTGTGTACAGATGTTTTTATTGGCATATCTCATCTGCTCACCAGCATTGCTGATTGTTGCAGGCTACCATGTGGTTCCTTTTAACTGCTGGTATGCTGCTGGCCTGTGTGGCCTCAGCACGTGGGCAGCTAACTGACAACATTGATGATATGCTCAACTGGTGCCTGGATGGAAAACATCACAAGTCTCGGCCAGGACCAGAGGACGAACTGCACAGATTTGTAAGAAATCCATCTGGCCTTCTTAAAAGCTTAATAATTTTTGTCCAAAATAACAAGATATTCCAATGTCGATGCAGGTTTTTATCTTGCTGTGCTGTTAGAGCATTCATAATTACTGCTCTATCTTGTCTACCCTACCTGAGTTGGTTACGATTAGTCTGTGTGACATTGAAAGGCCTGAGTAGGCTATCTGGAGTAGGCAGTCTGTGGTGGACTGCAGACACTGTTGCCTATTGAGTGTTGCACGCCCGGTTGCGCTCGGCGCTGACTGCCGCCGCCCCTGTGCAGTGCTCTCCGTGGCGTGAGCGGGCCTGCTGCACGGCCAACATCAGCCGCGCGCTGCACACCTCCTCGCTGCACGGCTTCACGTACGACCACTGTCCGGGCCGCACCATGTCGGCCGAGTGCCGCTGGTACTTCCAGCGCGACCACTGCTTCTACGAGTGCTCGCCCAACATCGGACCCTGGGTCACAAAGGTGGGGGATGCCCTGTCCGACCAGGGCCAGAGGCGCGCAGAGAGCGCGCTCGGTGTGGGCTGTGCGCCCGCTGTAAGGCGGGTGTTGTGGTATTCCTGTTCAGTAGTTGTTTTGCCTGTTTTCAGTAAGTTGGTAGGATGGCCGGCGATGCATGGTTACATGTGGCAGCGTGGGTGTTGCACTCGTCTGTTGTCCGCGTCTGTGTGACTGAGAATCTGACTCGCCGGAACGCCGTCTGCCGGCCCTCAGGTGGACATGAAGATCCGCAACGAACGTTTTGTGGACGTGCCACTGTGCGCTACTCACTGCACCATGTGGTTCGAGGCCTGCAAACGCGACTTCACTTGCACCGACAACTGGACGCGCAACTTCCGCTGGAAGAACGGCACCAACCACTGCCCGGCCGGCGCTCCGTGCTTCACATTCGAGCAGGTCTACCAGACGGCCGACAACTTCTGCGAGAAGGTGACACATGGTCGCGCTCAGCGGCCACGGTTTGTGTGTGTGTGTGTGGGGGGGGGAGATGCTGCCCCCATCGGACAGACTCTGGGAGGGGCTGCCCCCATCGCAAAGTAGGATTTTTTTCCGATCTAGCACCTCTTTATTCGTAGAGGGCAAACCAAAGGTAGTATTGTAGCCAGATTGTGCACAGATGTTGACCAGTGAGATCTGGTGAGTGTTACCTTTGAAGTTTAAATGTACATAATAAACATAGTATAGGGGGTCAATTGGACCCTGGCCGAGCCGTTTGGCCTCTGATCAAGCTAGAGCTTCGCGGAAAAGTTAGCTGTTGCCCAGGACGAGAGAAGGCCGAACATATCCAATCTCAAAGTCCAAGGTCATTAGTTGACTTTCCAAGTCGGGCCAGTAACCCAAAAGGCTGGAAAAATCGGGATCTCTTAGAATTTCGTAAAGTGATAGTGTTATGGGTATTTCAGGGTGCTGATCACGAATTTCATGTTAGTTTTGATCACAGACGATTTCTTCATGCATTCAGGCCAGGTTGGGTTAGGTCAGGTCAACCAGTAGGCGTCCTGCCGGCTATCCATAGTAGGTAGTAGGTGTCACCTACCACTGACAGCTTCATAACATGTTACGGAGGCACCAAAACTACCCACTTCGTAAATGTGCAAATGGTTGCTAAATTCGAATTCAGCTCCAAAAACTACCCTAGAGACAAGTAAAACTCGAAAAAGAGAACCAAAGTCATCAAAAGACAATGACCTTGACCTGACCTTCACGTGACAACCACCATAATGCATGGGACCAACGTCATTTCACATGTTTGAATGTTTAAAAAGAAGACGAAACGAGCGGATAATGTTACCTGACATACGCCGAATCGCGATTCCGGCGAAACATGGTCTCGAGAAATGGGTCACAGGTCAAAGGTCATTTGGTTCAGGGTCATTACATTCTCAGGTCAGGTGAAAACTTGATAAAATCGAGAGTACCGAAAGTTTCGTCGCGATCGGCCGCTTTTTGCGCCAGTATTTTGCGAAAAATCACGAGGGAGAGGTCCATCTGACACACCCCCCCCCCCCTCCCTACAAGTGCGAGGGTTAACAAGGCTACGTTAGGTACAATTAACGCTTGTCACCCTATTCCTGATAAATATGTCTGAGAAAATATGCATCATATAAACCACGGAATAAAATCATTCCGCCACCCTACGTCAGGAACATATATCGTGCTGTGTGTCATCAGCGTGTGTCCGTCAGTCCGTCTCTGTTGATACAGCGCCCGGTCAGCAGCGGTATGTGCTCTCAGTCGGCCCGAGTCATCACACCGCTCGGCGCGGGCAGACCTGCTAACCGCCACATCAGCTACAGTCGGTATCCTCTGGCCGGACCGCGTGATCCGACCGTCGCCCGTATGACCGTACGGTGGCCCGTATAATGGAACGGTGACCCGTGTAGCCGGACGGTGGCCCGTGTAGCCGGACAGTGGCCCGTGTAGCCGGACAGTGGCCCGTGTAGCCGGACAGTGGCCCGTGTAGCCGGGCAGTGGCCTGTATAGCCGGACAGTGGCCCGTGTAGCCGGACAGTGGCCCGTGTAGCCGGGCAGTGGCCTGTGTAGCCGGACAGTGGCCTGTGTAGCCGGACAGTGGCCTGTGTAGCCGGACGGTGGCCTGTGTAGCCGGACGGTGGCCCGTGTAGCCGGACGGTGAGCTGCGCTGTGACTCAGACCGGCTGTGAGCTGGCCGGTACGCGGACGGAGAGTGTGAGCTGCGCTCTGACGCCGACCGTGCCGCCCGTTTCAGGTGTGGGACCACTCGTGGAAGTTCACGGCGGACACGGAGCCGTGCATGCAGCTCTGGTTCGACCCCGCTCAGGGGAACCCCAATGACGCCGTGGCGCGCATCGGGGCCGAGCGGGTGGTGGTGGCGGCCGGCGCGTGGTCGCTGCCGCCGCCGGCCGCCGCGTGGCTGGTGGCCGCAGCGCTGGCGGCAGCGGCCCGCCCCTGACCAGGTCACCGTGTGTCGAGCACAGAGCGCCCACTGAGGTCAGTCTTGTGATCGAGCTTCCGCGCCGAAGGTGGAACAGGTGGAGCCGGCGACCAGCGGCGCGGGCACGGCGGCCTGAGTGCCGCGATCTGATCCAGATCTGCTGCAACCCATTGTATTCTCCTGTAGTCGATCGGTAGGTACTCATTTTTCTGATATTAGACGAGTGGCGTGTTTTGATACCCTGTATTGGAGACTGCCGTCTCGGGTGGTCCGTCTCCGACAGCGCTCGACTGTGGCGTCGGCTGCGGGTGTTATGTACATAGACGGGACGCCGCGGCTCGGATTCGGAGCTGGACCCGGTGCGTGGTAATGGAGATTGTTCGGGGCGCGGTCCCACACCGTAGTGCAATACTAGCGATTTGCGACAACTTACCAAGGTAATTTGTAGAGTACGTGTTTTGATGGATACGAGAGACAGTCCGTCTTTCGCTATCAGTCATTTGGTTCAAGATACCTTCGATAAGATACCCTGAAGATACTTTACAAGATATGATCTGAAAACTAAATGCGCTTTTCTTCCTTAACATGTGTTACGGGTGGTATGATAATATGATTCACTGCGTTTTTGTTCGACACATATGTTCGGGGCGGCCAGTCCGCCCACAGCTGATGCATGCTCAGCCGCTGATGCCTGGGGAAGCGCTGTGCTGTTTACGCCCACAGGTCGCCGGCCCGAGAGCTGTTCGGTCGCTGCTGTCAAAACAGCCTCCCACAAAAACACGCCGGCTGGGCCGCTGACAGTTCACCACTGAGAGGCCGAATAGCGTTAGCAGGTAGCCTTGTTCACCTATATGTCCGACCTGAGCCCACTGGTGAAAAGCGGCGACCGAGCAGCTCTCCGCAGCGCCGCGAATCCTGTACACTGTATTATACGCAGTACAGGTGTGTCTGCCCTGCACACAGAGACACAGGACGTTTTGTAGAGCTTTTATATCCGCTTGCTGCGGAAGGGAATATTGTACATTTTGAGAGCTTTCATATATGCGAGAAAATATAGTGCAATAAAACATTTATGAATCCTGTTGGATTTTATAGCTTGCTGAGTTATTTCTTTGACAGTGTCGGTCGGCAGAGCAGTCATCTACTACCGATCTTGGTATTTGCAAGCTGTCCGTCTGTGAAACGATCTCACGATACTGATGCATGCCGAACGGATCACACAGCAGTCCCATTTTATTTTTGCAACTTTTACAGCCTTACTTAAGCCTATCCTAGTGAAAGCGTTGATACGCGTTGATTTGACACTGGCATCCGTTTGAGGGCGGTGTTCTTTGGCCTGATTAGCCGGCCAGCAGCTGTTGCAGGCTGAGCAGGCCGGCTTCGCTGGGTAGCAGGTTCATCTTCAGCGTGTCAGAGAGCCACTGGGTGCGGAAGCACTCTCCGATGGCGCGGACGGCGCGCGCCGGCTCCTCCTGCTTCTGGGACGTGTAGAGGCGCGTCTCGAGCAGCCGGGCGCGCAGCGGGCGGCCCTCGAGCACGCGGAACGCGGCCGGCCGGCGCGCGTACAGGCGCTCCCCAAACAGCAGGCCCGAGTGGTGGCAGAGGCGGGCGTCGCGGCGCGGCAGAGCGCGCAGCGCCGCCGCCACCTGCTCCAGCTCGGCGTCGGCGCGCCCCTCGGCGAACAGCAGGTGCAGCTGCCGGTCGGCCAGGCAGAAGCCGCTGATGCCCGGCGTGCTGACGTCGCCGGGCCGGCGCGGCGCGGCGCCCTCGGCCGCCGCCGGGCTGGGCGGCTCGTTGAGCTGCTGGATGAGCTGCAGCACGCCGCTGCGCTGCAGGCCGCGCTGCGAGACCACGGCCAGCAGGCGGCCGTAGGCGCAGCGCGCCGGCGCCGGCCGCGGCAGCAGGTCCAGCGGCACGGCCAGCGACACGGACACGGACAGCTGCGCCGCCGACTGGAGCAGCTGCAGCGGCCCGAACGGCGGCGGACACGTGCCGCGCTCAATGTCGGCCGCCGGAGAGGCAGCCGGTCCGGCCGGCACCGCTGTCAGCGGCACCTCGACACTGAGCAGACGCACGCCGCGCGTCAGGGCAGAGACGTCCACCAGCACCTGCCGCGCACACAGGGGACGGAGAGTGGGGACAGCGCGCGGCGGGTCAGACCTCCTCGCGGACAGGGGACAGGAGCATGGGGTAGAGCCGCCAAATGGGCGAGGAGACGGTCCTTGCAGCTGACTGAGGTCCGGGGGCCGGCCGTCAGGCAGGAAGTTGTCTGACCGACTCAAAGTGTTGAATATATCACACATTTCTAAATGGCTTCTGTAGGACATAATGGTGTCTGGTAGTCTGCATGAAGCACCCAATGATTCACTACCGCTGACCTAGTGGTCGCGAAGCCCTCACGGCTCACACATCTGTACCTTTAAATCCCATTTAGGAGTAAAATGACGCACGTGTAGGAAACCACACGCCGCTACACTGTAAAGGGATCAGATCTCCCGTCTCCCTTTTCCCCACCTCTGCAAACTTGGTGGGCAGCGGGTTGGGCAGGGCGAACGGGTTGCCCGACTGTTTGATGATGTTGACCAGGTTCGGCTGGTGGATGTAGCGGTCGATCTCCATCTGGTTGAAGCGTTTGTTGCTGACCAGCGGTGTGGTATGGCGCCAGAGCAGCTCGATGCGCAGCGGCACGGTCTGCAGACGCTCCCAGAGCGCCTCGCGCTCCAGCAGGCCGCAAAACACCACTGACAGCTCGTTCAGAGTCACCTGACGGACGGAGCCACTGGCGTCACCACGCGGCGTACCGAGAGGCGCCTACACTGCTGTATGCAGCACGGCGACCCCTGGGACACGGGTGGGCAGCCATCCTGATCCTTTATCGTAACTCTGGGCGATCCAGAAAGGCGGTACCTACCTAATGGACGAGCTGGGAGGAATGCTCCCCAATCCCCATACCTTTAACTCTTCTATTTCGATAAAAAACGATTTATAATGCATACAAGGATCCTATTGGACGTGTTGATAAGGCAATAAATGTTCAAAATCAAAATGCTCATATCAATCAGCGAATGAAATCATGATTGCCCGATTTGTCGCCCCAGGCTGCAAAAGAAAAGTCGCAGATCGCCCGTCTACGGCAACACCGAGCAGAGTACCTATACCGAGCGGCCTGACGTGGCATGCGGTACAGCCTATCCGTACAGGTGTTATTACTAGTGCCACCTGGTGACAGGAATATAACCTTAAGAGTTGTGCGGTACAGCATACCCGTGCAGGCGTTACCACTGCCGCCACCTAGTGACAGGAATATAACCTTGTGAGTTGTGCGGCACAGCATAACTGTGCAGGCGTTACCACTGCTGCCACCTAGTGACAGGAGTATAACCTTGTGCGGCACAGCATAACAAAGCAGGCGTTACCACTGCTGCCACCTAGTGACAGGAATATAACCTTGTGCGATACAGCGGATCTGTCGCCTGTTCCGTCTGTTCCATGACGCTGAACGCCTCAATAATATCTCACAACGGCTCAGTTCCGGTCACCGTCCTATTTGAACGGTCGTGAGTAGCTTCTCAGGAGCCGGCCCACGTGTGGTGGGGTGACCCGTCCATCCATCGAGGCGGGCTCAGTCCAGAGTGGCGCACGGCGGTGCACCCGGGTGGCCGCCAAGACCAATGATTCCCTGAATTCTTATCATTATTCCGATTCAAGAATGACCCCATAAGACCAAAGGGCATAGCCTTAAAAGATCAATAAGTTAGCTACAATTAACTATGCTGCATTGCAGCTACATGATAGTTTCTGGCTTGTGTTCCGGAATGGCTCCTCTAATGACCTGCTGGGGGAACGTAAGATGGCCATTTAATTTTTCTTGAACATGGTTTTACGAACCTAAATCATGATCAAAGCGGCCTCTAATGACCTACTAGGGGAACGTTAGATGGTCAATAAACGTTTCTTGAAAATGGTTTTACGAACCTAAACCATGATCAAATCGGCGTTGATTAGCGATACATCGAAGTTTTGAAGCAGATGCCACATGAAGCGAAGGTCAAATGACAGGTCTGTCAGACGGAGGTGATGTAAATATGTCGGAGCCAGCACCTGGTGGGCGTAGTCCTGGTCGGGCGAGCAGTACACCTCGCCGTCCGGCATGTGCACGGCCGCGAAGAAGACGGGCGGCCGGCGGGCGGCCTCGGCGCCGGCCGTGGACGCCTCCTCGCCGCCGTCTGCCTCCTCAGCCGGCGGCGGCGGCGTCTCGGACTCCTGACGCTCGCCGGCCGCCATGGCGAAGCCGGTGGGCAGCGCGGGCAAGCCGTCCAGGCCGCGCAGGTGCACCACCAGGGGGTTGAGCGCCAGCCGCTGGCGGGCGGCCAGGAAGGCGGGCGCGCGCAGCACCAGCGCCACCTGCACCAGACCCGGAGAGTCGACACAGAGGGCGCTGCTGGCGGTCAGCTGCAGCGTGCCTGCCGCCACAGCGGGGAAGCGGGAGGGAGCGTCAGATGCGGGCCATGGTAAAGCGCCACTTTAATGGTGGTTCTTAGCGTGGAAGATAGCCGGAGCACCTTGCTATTCTTATTTCTATGCAAGCTAAGACAATGCTTATGTGTCATCAAGACGACTGAAACATCTGGGCATCTAAACATCAGGCCGGTCGACGGTCATGATCTTTCAATCCGTAGGACTTAGGAGCGTACCAAGAACCAAAGTACTCTTGTCTCACAGAGATGGCTCAGTCACCAGCATCAGCCTCCATAAGGTACTCGATTGACCACATAAGTGAGCAGTGCTCGTAGAAATAATAGATCAAGACAGTGACCAACAGGTCCTTGCGATTTTTTTAGCCAGCAGTTCATCTCGTTACATCGGTGGGTCTTTAGAGCTGAAGAAAAATCTATCGCACCAATGCTTGATAATGTGAGCTGAATGAGGCCCCATTCACCCTTCTGCAAAAATCCTCAGGCTCATGCTGTAAATGTACCTATAAGTGTCAAAAAAAGAATAGCATGATGAGTATTAGGGTTTTTATCGTCCATGCTTATGTAGGTTGATGACAAATAGAATTACCACTGAAGAAGAAGTCCATGTTGAACGTGAGTACCAGCTCGTTTTTGTCCTTCTTGCCGCGCGCCGAGTCGGCGGCCTTCTTATCACCCTGCTGCCGCTTGTCGCCAGACTTCGCCTTCTTCTTGCTTTGCGATTTTCCCTTGTTACTTTCCCGTTTGTCCCCCTTAGTTTTTGGGCTGGATATCTGCTTGAAATAATACAGGTGCTGGTTGTCAATGGAATGAAAAAAAAAAACACATCAAAACTCCAACACCATAAGAAATACCTAGTCACTCGGCGAGTTCGGTGCACACATAGGTGAGAGTTCCTATATTGCGCCAGGTCTCCTAATTGCGCCCGCGTCATCTGCAAAATTAATAATTCGATTGATCAAATAACTATAGTAACTATAATCATCAACAATTATAATCACAATCACAATCAATTATAATCACAATCACAATCAATCATAATCACAATCACAATCAAGCACAATCACGATCGCAATCATCAATGCAATATTGTTTGGCCTACCACCACCAGCGTAAGGTCTTAAGCCGCGTACCTACTACATACATAGGAGTGATTTTGTAAAATGCGGTGTTTTCTTATTGTGAACTTGCTTACCTACATCAAGTTCCTGTTTTTTTTTTAGTTTTTTTTTTTAGTGGCCTATACTTACGTTGTTGGTCTCGCGAGGAGGGCACTGGGCAGCGACCTAACTACGCCGCGAAAAAGAAACCGGCCGTCCTAACTAAGACCGGTGGCCACTTAACCGCAAGGTAACATGGGAAACCCATACCTATCCAATTATATCCATGTACAGTAGGTCAGTAGGTCTACAAAATAAGTCCTCTCCGTATGCGGGCAGGTGGCGCCCGAGTAGCGGTCAGGCGCTAACTGCCCACTGGTGACCCGCATACGGCGGGGACTTATTTTGTAGACCTACTGTACAATGTCATGAATATGGGGGAAACCCCATGAATTTACGTTTTTACTGAACTGTAAATCAGCAAGTTCCTGTTCTGCTGTTTCTGT